AACGTGCCCTTGACCCCCAAGGCTTTCCAAAATACCAGCTCTCCATCCCGAGTCGTCTCTGTTGACGGCCCAGAAGCCCGAGGAGGTCCCCAGGAGCCCGCAAACGGTGAAGAACCTCTAGGACCCCTTTTCTCCCCAAGAACCCCTTCTCCTTCACGGTGGCTCCCTACCTCTCCGGCCCCCTCGTTGGGGAGACCACGGGGGGCGAGCCCGCGGCGATCGAGGGGATCGATCAGGTCGGGCACGGCGGCCAGGGCCGCGAGAGCTACAGGGAGCCTGCGGCGGGCCCGCGCCAATCATGGCGGCAGCCTCGGGCGAGCGTCGCGATACCCGGCGGCGAGCGCGGGTGGCAGGCCGGGAGGACCTGGCAACATGCGCTGCCGGAGGGGTTGCTGGAGGACCCAGAGGGGGAACTGCGCCAGAGGGGGGGCCCAGTCGTGGTCAACGGAAAGAAATATCACCCTCCTCCTCCTCCTCCTCCTCCTCCTCCTCCTCCTCTTCCTCGTCATCCTCGTCGTCCTCGTCATCATCGTCATCATCGTCATCATCGTCATCATCGTCATCAGCATCAGCATCATCATCAGCATCATCATCATCATCGTCGTCATCATCATGATGATCATCAGCATCATCAACATCATCATCAACATCATCATCAATATCATCATCAACATCATCATCAACATCATCAACATCATCAACATCATCACCATCACCATCACCATCACCATCACCATCACCATCACCATCACCATTACCATCACCATCATCATCATCATCATCATCATCATCATCATCATCATCATCATCATCATCATCATCATCATCATCATCATCATCATCATCATCAACAACAACATCCATCCTCCTCCTGCTCCTTCTCCTCCTTCTCCTCCTCCTCCTCTTCCTCCTCCTCCTTCTCCCTCCTCCTGCTCCTCCGCCTCCATCCTCCTCCTCCTCCTCCTCCTCCTCCTCCTCCTCCTCCTCCTTCTCCATCCTCCGCCTCCTCCTCCTCCTTCTCTCCCTCCGCCCTCCTCCTCCTCCTTCTTCTCCATCTCCTGATCCTCCTCCTCCTCCTCCTCCTTCTCCTCCTCAGTCCCGCCGTCAGCCAGTGGTGTCCCCCGACGGGTCGCAGGCGAAGTCTCGCGTTGAGGCGAGCGACGCAGATCGAACACACTTCTATATGGTATAGCTTCGTCGTGGGTCTTGACATGGAGCTTATCTTCTAGCGCATCTGGCCGACTCCGTTCCGCTCCTTCTCCTCCTGCGCCTGCTCCTCCTCCTCCTCCGCCTCCTCCTCCTCCTCACCCTCCTCCTCCTCTCCTCCTCCTCCACCTCCTCCTCCTCCTTCGCCTCCTCCTCCTCCTCCTCCTCCACCTCCTCCTCCTCCTCCTCCTCCTCCTCCTCCTCCTCCTCTTGCTCCTTCTCCTCTCCTTCGTCTCCTCGTCGCCTTCCTGACCTCCGAAGAGGACGTCAACGGCTTGCAGGGGTGCTCCAGCAGGGGCACTTCGCGCTCCGCGGGGCACGATTACCTCCGCGCCACCGCGCGGCCCCGCTGGAGAAGGACGGCTCTCTGGCCCCAGGCCGAGGGGCGCCATCGTCGTCTCGCGGCCCCGTGGGCGCCACGGGTTCAGGCGAAGTGGGGGGCTGCGGCAGGACCTCGGCCACGGGACGCCGCGACGCCTCGACGGGAAGCCTGGGACCCCGGCGCCCAGCGGCCTCGGAGGGAGGGCTCGGGAGCTCTGGGCCTCTCGGTGCGCGCCGCTCCGTGCCCAAGAACCCTACGGCTCCCGCCAGGGGGCCACCTGCTGCTCCTCCTCCTCCTCCTCCTCCTCCGCCTCCTCCATCCTCCTCCTCCTCTGCCTCCTCCGCCTCCTCCTCCTCCTCCTCCTCCTCCTCCTCCTCCTCCTCCTCCTCCTCCGCCTACTCCTACTCCTCCTCCTCCTCCTCCTCCTCCTCCTCCTCCTCCTCCTCCTCCTCCTCCTCCTCCTCCTCCTCCTCCTCCTCCTCCTCCTCCTCCGCTGCGCGCCGGCGGCTTCTTCATACGCGCCCCCGCTACAAGCCAGAACGGGGGCTGGCCCGGCCTCACCCCTACTGCCTTCGACGTCACCTCCAGAGGCAAGAACGGGGGGCTTGAGGGGGGGACCGAGCCAGCCTGGACAATGCCAAAAGGGGCCAACACAAGGGAGTCGCCACCTAAATCCCGGGTCGTTTGTTGACGGTCCCGCGGCCCGGTAAGGGCCCCCAGGAGCTAAAAAATCTATAAAAACTTCGAGTCGTGATCTTTTCATGACTCGAGGGGCTCTGGATGAAGTGGCGCCCCCCCCCTCCCCCCAGGCGGTGCTCCCCCCTTGGCACTACCCCGGACTGCCCCCCTCTGGCAGTGGACCCTCCCCCGGCGCCCTCCAGAGATGTGGGGTGGGGGGCTTCCGGGAGGAGCCCGCCCTGCTGGAGCCACAGCCCTGCACTGGAGTGGACACGACGGCGTCTTCAAGTCGGGGGGGGGGAAAGGAGGGATTGCATACAGGGGTTGTGGATGGTGTTGCACCTGAGGTAGTGCTCGAAGATCAGGATGGCGTAAAAACTTACGACATATTACACGTAGATGTCGATCATGCATCCGTGCTCCGTCCATGGAGAAATGCAAAGAGATGAATCAGAACTCGTGGCCTGCGGTGTCCGCCTGCCGTGTGCGAGAACATGAACGAAGACAAGACGACCGCCTCCGTCACGCCAGGCACCCAGCACCCGGATTGTACACAGTAGGCCCTCGACCACAAGAAACCTTCCGCAAGAAACCCAACCCTGAGACCCAAGGGCGTCCGTGGATGTTGGGTGTGGGGACGTCACGCCGTCCATCGGAACACCCTCGGAACCCAAGAAACCCAGGGCACCCTGGAGGCAAGCAGGGCGATTTTTCGTATGGGTTTCTCCGGAATGGATGGCCTGCTTCGGCGCGTGGCTTTGGCTGTAACGCTCAGGGTCGTGAGTGCGAGCAGACGCGGGCACACAAAAGCATCTCGTCCACGACGGCGACGGCTATGACGACTGTGACACTGGCCCCAATGAGCGTGAATATTTTGTCACCGCCCTCTTATTATCAACGAGATGCCGAGTTCGCCTCCGCGACGCCGAGCGAAAAGACTTTCTTGCCGTGAGTGGCTCGGCCGTCCATCAAGAATACCGGTGCTGAGAGCTCGACTGCTCTGCCAATGACACCTGCTTGTGCACGTGTCTTCCCGCACGCAGCCAGAGAAGCCGAGCACGTCTCGAACGAACGAACGAACGAATCACCACATCGGACAGCTGTCTGGGCCTGACCAGGTGGGCGAGGCCATGGCCTCCTGTAAACATACAGACATTCACAGGAACTGCGGGACATTCGAACAGTTATGAACCTGCGCAACACACAAAACGTTATAACAGAGGAGGAGAGGAGGAGGAAATTTTGGTTGTGAATCTCGGCGAAGTGCTGATGTATTTGTGCTCGAGTATCGACCACGCGGTGGTGTCTTGAGCTGAGCGAACTCAAGTGCGGTCGTTCGGTTTGCCCTGCTCATTGGTTGGTGTGGGCGCTGGGTTCAGGTCGGGTCGGTGTTTTTGAAGGAAGCTGACGAGGTCGTCGTCCCAACGCTTGCGCTGGCCGCCGTGGTGTCTCCGGCCACGTTGCCGTGAGTTCTCTCCTGGTTGCAGTGCACGCCACGTCCATCTGGTGGGCTCGTGGTTGGCTACCTTGGATGCCATGCGCCACGACCTCTGTCTGCGAATCGTCTCCTAGTTTTCGATGTGGTGGTGCTGCATGAGCTGTTCTGCGCGCCGCGTGGCTCTCTGGATGGAGTCGACCCACCGCTCCATCGCGTCCTCGTCATTGCTGTTGTTGTTGCTGTTGCTGTTGCTGTTGTTGTTGTTGTTGTTGTTGTTGTTGTTGTTGTTGTTGTTGTTGCTCTCGCTGTGTCGGTCGGTCGTGTCTTGTTGGGGCGCGTTGTTCTCTGCGTCGTCGATGCTGCTGGTTTCTTGGTCAGGTGCTTGAGTGGTCGTGCGGTCGTCCGCGTGTCCCTGGGTGCTGCTCGTCGGGGTTGTTTGGTGGGTAGCGCGTCGCCTTGGTGTCCTGATGATCATTCGGGGCATGCGTCGTTGCGTTCGCCGCAGGTGTTGCCGGAGAGGTTCCGTGAGCGTCCATGTCTCTGCTCCGTAGAATGCTGCGGGTGTTACGGTCCGGCTGAAAAGCTGAAGTCGGTGTGCCAGTGGGTAGTGCTTGCTTGTCAGCTCCTGTTTGTGCGAAATGAACGTTGACCATGCTGTCCTCGTACGGTGGGGGATTTCAGTCCACATCGCGTCGTGAAAGCTGATGGGTTGACCTAAGTACTCGATGCTGCCATTGTGGGGAAGGATATCGATGTCCATGTCCTGAATGTGTATTGTGCGCGAGCTTGCCCTGCTGGTCCGTCTGGTCTGGTTGCTGAGTATTTTGGTTTTGGAAGGGTGCAGCTCAAGTCCGTGAGGTCGCACTGCGCGCACGATGTCGTCGAGCATCGCGGTGAGGCGCGGTAGAGTTTGGCTGGTCAGGAGCACGTCGTCGGCGAAGCGGAGGTTAGTGAGCGTGGAGGTGGTGGTGAATCCTAGCTGCACTCTCTTGCCCTTCTTTTGCCAGTCGGTGATCTATGGTGCAAGAATGTGCTGTAGCAACGCGTTGAAAGCAAGGAGCTGAGCGGGTCGCCCTGCTTCGTCCCCCGGAGGAGACTGAAAGACTTGCTATTGACGTCAATCCTGACCGTGGCCGTCTGCCCCTCGTACAGCTGTTGGAGCAGTGAGACGTATCCTCGTTGAACGCCCTGCGCCTCCAGTGCTGCCCACATGCTATTGTGCTCGACGGTGTCAAACGTTGTTTTGGAGTCTAGTGCCGCTACCCACAAGTTCTGGTTCCATTCGTGGGCGCGCTCACGGAGAATGTGGAAAGTGAATAAGTGGTCGGTGGTTGAGTGTCCTGGCCTGAGGGTCAACGATAGGGGGGGATAGGCATAGGGGGGATGCATTGACCTGGAATCATTCATACATCGCCGATAGATCGGCGATAAGCACCCGATAGCGAACCCACACCTTCCTGGGCGGGTTGGGGCTATCGGGCCCCTATCGGCGATCCATGGGCGATTGGGGGTCGATGCACCCCCCCCTATGCCTATATCCCCCCCCAGCGTTGCGCCCGAACTGCACCTTGTTCGGAAACGCCCCGATGCCTTCGGGGGCAGCGCCCTCGGCCTCCCCATACCTGCCGTGCTGCGCCCGCAGCCTTGCCCTTTACGTCGGGCGTGCCCCCCTGCAGGCGGATCGAAGGATTGCAAAAAAAAACGAAGGATTGCAATCCTTCGTTTTTTTGCAATCCTTCGGACGAAAAAATAAAAATAGTCAGACAAGTGTCAGACATTCCCCCACAATAGTCCCCAGGCTATTTTCTACTGTTTTGAGTCTTCCTCCTGTAGAGGGGACAGGCCCGACTTCAGCCTTGCCTCGCGGTGCGCCAGGAGCACCTCCTCCGCCGCTCGAGGCGACGCACCGCCCCGGGCCACCAAACGAGTGACGCCAGAGGGCCCCCGGCGCTCTCCTGCAGCTTCAGAGTGGCCCGGTCATGCCAACATGGCTTACACTCTAGGCGATGCTTAAGAAAACCTAAGTTTTCGGCCAGAGTCTCGATTATTCTGAATGTTTCAATGTAGATCCTAAGATTTCAATAGAAATTCTGGGTTTGTAATCAATTTCTGAGACCATGAATTTCTTAACCCATGATTTCTTAAGCATTTCGCAGGGTGTAGGTCGGGTGTGCCCCCCTACAGGCGGAGTTTGGACGAAAGAAACACGCACCCCCAAAATATCAGAAAATGCGCACCAAAAGGTTCCAAACATCGTCCCCGGACTGTTTGTTTACTATCTTTGAGTGCTCCTCCCGTAGAGGGACATGCTCGCCTTCATGGCATCGGAGGGTTCCCGGCGCTCCTCTGCAGCTTCAGGGTGGCCCGGTCATGCCAACATGGCCTCGGAACCACACAGGGGAACGCACAATGGCACAAACGTAAAAACTCGGAGGTCCGCGCGGATTTCTCGGGTCGGCGCTCGACACCCCGCGCGCGGGGAGCGCACCAAGGGCGGTGCCGGAAGCGCCGCCCGGGGGGCCCAGCGCCGATCCGAGAAATCCGCGCGGGCCTCTGATTTTTATATATATATATTATATATATAATATATATATATATATATATATTATATATATATATTTTATGTCATTTTTTCGCTCCCCTACTACATGCCGTGACAGACCACTTGCCGTGACAGTTCCCTCAAGCAAACACTCCGGACGAGAGCGGCGTGCATCCGCGTCCGTGCCCGCGAGATGGAACGGGAGGCAGAGCCAGGGAAGCTCTGAAGATGACAGTGACTGTGGTGATGATGAGATCGACGACCACGCAAGGGGAGGGAGCAACAGACTGAGGACGTAACGACGGTGAGCGGCAGAAGCAGCAGTGGGAGTAGAGGGAGAAAAAAAGGGGGAAGCGGAGGCGGCGCAGGAGGATTGGGGAGGAGATGACGGGGGAGGAGGAAAACTAGGATGATTACGATGATGATGATGATGATGATGATGATGAGGAGGAGGAGGAGGAGGAGGAGGAGGAGGAGGAGGAGGAGGAACGGCAGCAGTTGCAAAAACAGTGACACCAACAGAAAGATGAGGAGGGGGGCAGGAGGAGGAGGAGGAGGAGGAGGAGGAGGAGAACAGCGACAAGGAGAACAACGACAAAGAGGCCAACGACGCGGAGGGGAAGGGCAACGCCGCCATCGAGCACGATCAGGGAACAATTGTTTCTCTGCCGAGCTGGTCCACAGTGCACTCCAGTCACCTGAACGCGACGCATGCCAACGTACAGCGGAAATGATGGATCCCTCCAGCGAATCGACCAGCCGGGCGTTGTAAGATCCCCGCGGGGTACAGTCATGGTGTTTCCATGAGGGACGGCAGATAAGGAACGGCTGAGCTTTGTGGCCACGGCGAGGAGGAGGGAGGAGGAGGAGGAGGCGGAGGAGGAGGAGGCTTTGAGGCTGCTCGGATCCTCCCCCGTCGCGGCTTCCCGCAGGCGCCGCGCCGCGAAGGACCGACCCGTACACGCGCTCGTGCCGGCGCTTCTGACACACCGCCCCTCCGCCGGCGCGGGCGCGCCGACCATGCGGGCGAGCCTCGACCACGAATGAGTTCCCCAGCCGCAATCGAAGGAAGGGCCCGAGAACAAGAGAGACTCTCCTGAGCCCAAAATTCGGGCTGGGCGAAAGGGGGGGATAGCAAAGGGGGGGTTAGAGAATCAGCTCACGTAGCTGATTTTCCCTGCGCCTCCCGGCGCGGGAGGCGGCCATGTATCGAGGAATGGGCCCCTCGGTGGGGCCGAAACTAGCTACATGCAGCAGATTTCGTAACCCCCCCTTTCCCTATCCCCCCCTTTCGTCCGGCCCGAAACATGGCCT